TTAAAACATTTACATTATCCATATATATATATATTTGTGTATAAATAGTCAACTTTGGCTTGGATTTTTCGTGATTTACGTGGATTCCTTTCGGCCATTCAAAACAGAAAAAACTTTTTGGTTTTTTTTGAATGGTTTTATCCTGATCATATGCAAGTTCTTTATAATGCTTTAGAAGCATGTTCTAATGATACTCTTTCTGTAACTTTTCTCAAATTTTTTCTCGAATTTGTAAATAATCGTTCTACAAGATTAAATTTCGACATTTCATCTCCAAATGGGATACTGATATTTCGTGAAACAAGGTACAATTAGAATTAAGCGATTTCTAGAATCTTTATTATTTCTTTATGAATAATCTTAATTGATTTTATTTAATTTAATTATAAAAAGCAAAGTAATATCATTGTATGGTAAGTACTACAATCATCAATTAATACATATGCGCGTGTTTTTGTGTGTATATATATCTGATTAAAATATTCATATTAACATGATTTTCGTTTTTTATTAGGACGACATGTTAATAATCATACTTTCATCACCCAAGATAAATATACAGAATTGTAGGTATTATAATATATAAAATATAACTAATTACAATATTAATCATTTATTTATTATTTATTTATTTAACAGATATAAAAGTATATCGGTTTGTTTTAACATCTTGACAAAATCTTTTGCTGGACGTTATGTTAATTTTGGTGTTTTTGAATTATATGGCGATAAAGCTCTCGAGATTGCTTTAAATACATCATTTGATATGATCCTTAGGGTTTCAATTTTGCGTAAAAGCCTAACTGAACTATAACTGTTTTAATTAAAAAATATGTAAAAGTCATCCAAAAGGCATATTTTATAATTAAATTATTATTATCATTATATTGGGAAAAATAAATACCCTCCAGCCAAGTCATTAAGCAATGTCACACTTTGTTTAACAATACTTGAACTATCACCCCACGTTTGGAGATTTGTTGCTCTAGAAAAGATGGTTTAAGGTTTTAAAATTTTGTTTTTCGATTATTATTAAAAAAAACTATGCATATAAAATTTCTTACATTTTCCTTACAATAATCTCAAGAAGCTAATAAAAAAATTATATTTATAATCAATTTGTACATTGAAATCTTACTAATATATAAATATTAAAAATATACCATATTTTGATCATTTATTCCAAGATTCTCAGATAATTTACTATAAACTTTAGAAATTCTTTGAGAACTTTCACCAATATAACTTTTTCGAAATTGTTGGAAAAAATATACAAAAGACAGTTCTAATTTTTCACATCCGTTTCCACTACCTCGCTA